TGATTAGTTCCCTCCAGTACAGTGCCCAGTGTAGCTTAAACACTCAGCTCGTGTTTGGAAAATGACTATGCAAGAAAAAGAAGAAAGGGCAGGAAATGTGATGGGGAAAGAGCAAGAGAGAGGAATGCCACCTGCTCTCTAAGGGACTATAGAAGAGTACAGGGAACTTTCTGACTGTGAAGGGAGAAGGCATCTTGGTAATTCTCGACAGATAAAGGGACCGAGATGGCGTATCTCATGGTAACAAGCATTTCCACAGCATCTGCTTGGGTCAGCACCTCTTGAGGGCTCTGGAATACCGGTTGTAGAAGAGCTGAGAAAGCCAAAGATTGTGTCAGCAAGGAAATAAATGAACCCAGAATCAGAGTCTCGGGTTAAAAGGGACTTAAAAGTTCCCCCGTACCAGTCAGAGCTATAGACGCTGTCACAGACCCACACACCCACCTTCTCACCAGCACGCATGGTGAGGCTGCCCACCCCCGTTCTATGCTCTGTCCTCGATGGGAAAAGGCTTTTTGGTTTTATTTATTCTGATTCAAGTTTTCCTGATTTTGTTCTAATGTGTACTCTGTGCTTGTGTGTGTGCTGTGTGCTCATGGTTATGTATGCACAGGCATGTAGAGGTAGAGGACAGCCTTGAGTGTTGTTACTCAGGCACCATGTGCCTTTTTCTCTTCCTTAAAAACATGTCTATTTGGGGTGGTGAATGAATGCCTCATGTGTGGGGGTACCTAAAGACTCCAGAAGGAGGCACTGGATCTTCCGTAGCTGGAATTACAGGAGGTTATGAGCTGCCGGATGTGGATGCTGGGAATCTAACTTGAGTCCTCTGGAAGAGAAGGAAGCTCTTTTAACCACTGCGCTATTATCTCCAGCCCCATCTTTTCCCCTTTGTGAGACAGGGTCTCTCACTGGCCTGGAGCTGGCTGATTAGGGTAAAATGGCTGGCTGCAAGGAATCTGCCGGTCTCTACCTCCACAGTTCTGGAATTACAAGCATGTGCACAATCCCAGCTTTCTGTACATGGTGTCTGGACTCATGCATGCAAGGCAAGCATTTTACCCCTCTCCCCAGGTTCCCTTTTATCACTCTTTTGACGAAAAGCTCTGTGTGTTTCTTTGAGAGAGAGAGAAATCTGTTCTTCTATATTTCCATCACGTGTTTGGAAGATCTGGAGAAGAGACTCAGAGGACGTGTTAGGATTAGAAGTGATGTTCTATCTCTGGGTCTTTTCTTTTTGTTTTTATTTTGTACCAATAGGAGCTAAACCAAGAGCTCTGCACATGACTAGTCAAGGGCTCTACCACTGAGTCTCCAGCTCTTGTGTCTTTTTATAGGAAGGGTCACATTTACGCTCACATTTGGGGACAGACACGGAATATTAGGAAATGCTTGAGACTGATGCCAGTGTGGATGAAGCTTACTGATGGGCCTCAGGAGGCGGCATTGGTGACGGGAGTTTCTGATGTGCCACCGGCTGTCATTCACAAGAGCATCAGGAACACACCAAGGACAGGACAGTCTCTTATGCACTGTGCGGGCGACATGGAAGAGGCAGAGTAGAGCCTCTAGAAGCCCAGCCCTCTTCTGTGGAGTGGAGGTGTGCATTACCTCATCCCTGAGTCTGAACAAATGAGTCAAGTGTGGTGGGAACTAGCCACTTGGGCAGAGGTAAACCTTCCTAACTTGCAGAATTCGGTGTTGGATTCACAGGACCACTGTATGCCATGCTGGAGGCTCTGCTGCCTCCCTGCCATTTGTCCTTGTTTCCAGAGTGAGGTTCAGCCTGAGGAAGCCAGCAGACGCTGAAGCCACGGGCAGAGCATGGGTCTGCTGTCTCCACCGGGGCTACTCCATTCATGGCACTTCTTAGCTTACTCCTTTTGTCTCCCCTGCCCTGCCCAAAGGGGAAGTCACTGCCCCGAAATGATCAGTACTGCCCATAGCTCCAAAGTGTTCTTTATGTTCGAGATTTCGAGGCTTCATGGGACCTAGGTCTCAGTACAGAGCCCTAAAACCTACCCCAAGAGCCAATCTGCTTGAGCTCACCAGATGGCAAATTGTTTTTCCCTAGGACAGGAACTAGAGTCTTCATAGAGTCTTCACCCAGCATATGACCCACCATAGAAGTAATGCTTGAGATATATATATCTTTTATATATATAAAATCAGGTAAATGAACATACAAATAACTGGACATAGTAGTACACACCTGTAATCCCAGTACTTGGGAAGTAGAGACAGGAGGACCACAAGTTCAAAGACAACATGAGTGAGACATTGTCTCAAAAAATGAATGAATGAGAGAGAGCGAGAATGGCTAAAAAGAGAAGTTGTGACACCAGCCTTCTCCCATTCATGAATGGCATGGAACATGGGCCGGCAAGAGGAGTGAGCAGACACAAGCCCTTCTCAACCCTGACAACCTGCATTTGACCCCAGAGCCCATGAAATCCGCAGGGAGTAGCTTCCCTCTGTAACCCCAACACGCCTATAATAGCACTATGGGGAGGAGAGACAGGAGAACCGCCTGGAAGCTTACAGGGCAGCTAGCCTGGACTATGCAGA